TCACGATGCCAGGAATCACCCTGGACAACATCCAAGAAAAACTTTGAGACGGGGAGGCCACAACCTCGAATAGCATGGGATCAAATTTCTATACGCGCGCTCTAAGGGGTGCCCCCCTCTCGGTCCCAACCGGAAACACCCATGCCCCCTGACCGGATGACGGGCTTTAATCCAGGGCCATGGAACCCTCATCCCGGCCTCTCCACTTGGTGTGTACCAGGAAAACGATGTACAACTTACTATGCCATATTCCTTTCGGAAAACATGTGACAGTATAGGATGGAATGAATGGGAATGTGAATTGTGTCATGACGACAAGGAAGTCAAATAATCTGGCATAAGACTGGCATGTCACCACACTGCCATCTTACCCATCCTCATACCAACACATGGCTTTGCAAATATGTATCCAACAACATAATGCTTTCCGAAACTTACTTTCCGATTGTGTGCATGAGATATATCATGCAAGGTGATGTTCATAAACATGTCATGACCATACTAAAATGCAAACATGCAACAACACTCATCATATCAAGAGTTCAAACATGCTTGCCTGGTTCGGAGTAGTCGGAGTCTAACTGTGCGAAGTTTGCGGCTCCGTCACCTCCTCCAGTATCTACGGTATAAGAAAAATATGTACGCAATGTAAATACCGTGAGTGTACAGAGAAGTGTTCCAAAAAAATTTCAAACAAATATGATAAAAAACTAGACAAAAATCTAAAGAGAACAGAAAAAGAATCACCCAAAAATTCCCTTCTGATAAAAAGTTATAAGTGTTTTAACCCAAGGACTCATCTGTAATGAAACAGAAAACTTCCACGGGGTTCAGCGTAAAAGTACAGATAACGTTTCGTTTAAAAGAAGCGGCTGTGAGGCTGACAGGCGGGCTCCACCTGTCGGGTTTGAAAGTTCAAACAGAGAAACAGAGCGCGACGGCGCCCGAGAGGTGCGGTGGTCGCCGGCGGCGATCCACGGCGAGGCAAGGCGATCGGGGGTTACCTTCGAGATCGATGCACCGTTCCGCGTCTGTGGGTGGTGGTGGTGATCGCCGGCGAGCACTGTGTCGACGGCGGCCCTTGCTCCGGCGGACGGCGGTTCGGGCAGTCGTGTATCTCGCCGGAGGGAGCTGCGGGGATCAAATAGGAGTGGGAGTTAGTCTCCTAGTTGATCGTGAGGGCTGCTGACGAAGTTAGAGCGCCGGAGACGGCCTCACCGGAGCGAATCGAGGTGGAGTCCGAGGCGGAGCGGGGTGGCCGGAGTCGGGGAAGAAGGGCCCCTCGGGGCTCTCCCAGTGGCTGGGCGGGGTCTAGTGAGGTGGTGGAGTCGTGCGGGGGCGAGAGCATGCTCGGGGGTGCTATATATAGCCGGCCCGAGTCAGTTGCCGTGAACGGATAAGTCCGGCGAGTTGATTACGGCGGCGCTGTGGCCGGACGGTCGGCTTAGGGGTTTGAGCATCGCCTAGGTGAAGTAGTGGTGCCATTTTAGGGTCCAGCTCAGCACGGGAGGGAGGTTTACGGCCTGCCCTCGACGGAACGGCCGCACGGCCCGTCGGCGGTAGAGAGCGTCACAAAACAAAACATCGCTGCCAATACTATTGTGGATAACCCAATATAGCAAAACTTAGGCAACTTCAGGAGCATAGCAACACAATGGGATGGGAAGGTAAGCAACAAAACTTCAAAATCTGAGTTGCTTGGACTACAAATTTCCGAAATCCTCACTAATTCAATATGTCCTCATAAATTTCAGGAATCCTGATGGCAGAATATGAAATTGGTTTGCTTGGTCTTTTGAGTATAGAAGCTTACTTGCGACTCCGGCGGAGTGGCAGCGTGGCGGTGTGGCGGCGTGGCGGAGGCGGAGTGGCGGCTTGGCGGAGGCGGCGACCCGCGGCGGGGCGGCTCCGGCGGCTGGGAGGCTCCCGCGCGACC